AGAATAATCAGCTACAGTGGTACCTTGGTTTACGAACTTAATCCGTTCCAGAAGTCTGTTCTTAAACCAAAACTGTTCTTAAACCAAGGCACGCTTTCCCTAATGAGGCCTCCCACCACCAGTGCCCTTCCACCGTTCGGATTCCATTCTTAGATTGAGGTAAAGTTCTCAAACCAGGACACTATTTCTGGTTTTGCGGAGTTTGTAAACCAAATTGTTCTTAAACCAGACTGTTCTTAAACTGAGGTACCACTGTATTATCCTTTCATTTATTTGGGCACCATAAGTTCCAAGCTTTTCTTTATCCGGTAGTTTGCTAAGGATTGCTGGAAAGTGTTTTTGTTAATTCTCCCTTTATCTTACCATCTGGAACTATTACAATGCCCTTTTAAAATCTGGTTTCTGGAATCAGATTTGATCCCTCACCTTGTTGGTTCTTTTTACATGCAATCTATACTAAGGAATATTTAAAAAACAAACAACCCCACAACCAAGAGCTATCAAGGGAAACAAGGTTGCTATACAGATAGATGTTGCAATTGGTGACGGAAGGCTCCTAAAATCCCCTTTGGGCATGGTTCTGTCTTTTTTCTTAAATTTCTCTTCCACATCCAGTTTCAGTAGCCTGAACTAATCTATACCAACCACAAATCCCTACCATTCTTCTAGAACCCACATTGATTTCCCCCACCCAGAAAAGCCTTCTAGGATCGCATCATACTTGGTCCTTCATTATAGAGAGAGGACCCATATGCCACTAGATGTCAGTATTAACAGACCATTTGCTCTTGCATTGCATTACATTTGCAGAGTAGCGTGAGAATATTTTCCCAAGCAGCACCAGTTGCACCTTCTCATTTCACTTCAAGAGTGCTAATTGCCAAATTTACACTATCAACCGCATTCCTGCGATGCAGATCTAAAGCTACAAATGGTAAATAATATGTTAAAGATGTAAGATATTCAGCCCAGGGAAATCGAAGAGCTGCCACTATTTTATTAATTAGCCTACAGTGTCATGCACAGCCAGTCAGTTTATTATTATTTCTTAAGAAAGCATTATAAGTATCTGTCTCATTAGAGAGCAGAAGTAGCAGACAGATTAATGCACATATGGTCCCAGATTAATTAGAAAATCAGATTTCTCACAAGATTGATAATTTGATAGCGACAATCGTAGTTGCAATTAATTGGCTCTCTCATCGTAGGCTTCTGATGAGGCATGCTAACGTGAAAGCACATTGAGACCAAGTGCACTATGGACACAAGGCAGGATCATCTATAGCACAAGATAAATTGCCTCTCTGTGGGGGTCTGCACTGTGCTTTCTCAATAACGCTCCATTGTGTGTATTCTTGTTGTATGCAAGGGAAGAAAGAAAGACAAAATACAGGCAGCATTAAGGATGACTTCTGAGCCTGACTGAATTTGAATTTAATTTCTTTAAAACATAATTAAACAGACAAAGGTCCCAATCAAGAAAAACAAGCAATCAACAGTTGAAATGCCCTTAATAATTGGAAGATGCTAAGAAAATAATAGTGAGAGAAAATAAGTATTCAAATGATCCAGCTCTGCTGACATTTAATACATTCATATTTAAAAAGTGACATTTAGCTAACTAAATGATGCAAATGAGAGCTACATTTACAGAAGTTTGAAAAAACAACTTCTGATCTCTGGTATTTTCCTGTACACGGGAATGTCTCCGACCCATCAGCTATGGTAAGAAAGGACACAGAGCAACTGTTGCAGTATCTGTCCATCTTGCATTATGCTTCTTGTGGGTCATGATCAACGCAGCATTCTCTCGGGGGGCGGGGGTCCCTGCCCTAGTGCCATGATATGAAACCCTGAAGTAATTAGTATTACCATGATTGAAATCCCTTGAGTTGGAATAGAGCAGTCATTCCGCTGGAGGATTCACTGTGTATGAAAATGTCAAAACACATCATTGTTTGCATACCTCCCCCTCCCCCAATGCTTACTGAAAACAACATACCAAATTATGTACCATCTTCTCACTTCCTCACAATATGTGAGAGAACACAGCCTTTTCTGGTCTGTTAGGAGATAATATGACTTTACCCTGTAGCAGTACTGAAGTACTAAAGCAGTCTGCACCACAGGCATAATGTACTGTAGTAATGAAAACAGGTGGATAGATGAATCCCTGTTCTTCCTGTATTTTTATTATTGCTGCAGACACTACCTGACCTGGCAACACTAAAACATCCATAAGGTTGCAAAGACCTGTCTGGGCTGCCTTCTCATAATAGCCAGTCCAGTGGACTATCACTACAAAGATTTAGACAAATCCCAAATCAAGAACCAAAGCTGATCCATGGCTGGTCTAACACATTTTTCTTGCTTGTTCGGTGCCCTTTGCAAATTTTGATACTTACACTTCCTTAGAAAGCTGAACAGTTTCTCTGACGTTTGCTGCCAATTGAACACAATACAGTGGTACCTCTGGATGCGAACAGGATCCATTCTGGAGCCCCGTTCGCATCCAGAAGCAAATGCAACCCGCATCTGCGTGTGCGCGTGACGTCATTTTGACCGTCTGCGCATGCACGAGCAGCAAAACCCAGAAGTAACATGCTCCGTTACTTCCGGGTCGCTGCAGCGCGCAACCCGAAAATACTTATCCCGAAGCTACTTCAACCCGAGGTATGACTGTACAAGACTAAAGCTTTCCTCCAATTCATCCTATCTCTCTAGCCTCTGCACCCATCCTTTCAAATTTTCACATATTAATTTCCTGGGGGCACCACTTTGATGCAATTTTTATATTAAAAAATTGCAAACAAAACCACACAAAAAGTCATCTTAGTTCATCACTTCACCCTCCCCTCAGATAGCTTTAGAGGTGCATGGCATGCACACCCACACACCACAAACTAATTTTTCTTGTAATATAACAAGAAATACCTCTCTCATATATTGCACATAAAACAAGAAAGGCGATTAAGTGAATCATTTTTAACCATACTGACTGTGGGGCGGGGGCCAAACCCTGCTGTGCCCCTCTTCCTGAAATTTGACAAGATTCATCCCCTCCAGAGGGGCTGCCATGCAAGATTCTCAACATAAAAACTGCAGCTTCCATTTGTTTGTAATTTGGTAAATATTTTCTACACAAGAGAAGACAGCACATATATAAATTTCATCCAATTCTGTCAAAGGGGGAGGGGGAAGAAAAGCATTTTTAAATAGAGGCACAAAACTTTATTTTTCTGAATTAGGATTCAGATTTGTATCCTGATCTGAATCTGGCATCCTCAGAAGTGCTTTGAACCTAATCTCATTCTCTTCCTAAGTGGGGTCCACACAGAATCTTGTGGTTGGTGCAAACCTCTAGTATGTGTTAGTGGTAGCAATTTTTCCCACCCTATATTACTATACTATGTAACCGTATTATTTATACTGGATTATATATTTAAAATGTCACTCTGTTAAAATAATTCTGTTTGTTTAAGTAAGATGACTAAAGCTAAAAGAGAATGAGTGCAGTCAAGTGAAAATCATGTCCAACTCTCATGGAAATAAAGTACATAATTAAGTGTTCAACCTTCATAAATTTCAATAAGAACTAACTGTGACCAACTGCTTAAAAATTGTACTCATTTTAATTTAACTAGTACAAACTGCATTAACCATGTTGACATTAGTAGAAATGAAAATATATGAATATAATAGCATAAAACTATGTAACCAATGAGCCCTCAGATAGATTATGAATCTGCTTAAAGGCATATGTCTGAAAACTCAGCATGTCAAAACAAATATTAGCCAGAGCGCATGATACTAAATTCATCTCATACAGGTCACCAGAAAAATTACATTTTCTTAATGCAAAATCCAATTCTAGTTTGTGTGACAATGGGTGCTAGGCTGGAACTTTTACAGGGTTTATTTCTGTGGATCACGGCACTGGTGCAGCTGGCATAAAGTTAATATAAAATATACCCTTCATGATCCATCTGTGACCCTGGTACAATATCCGCCCTCCCTTCCCCACAGGTGGGCGGGGTTTGCGGCACCAAGCGAGGCTCACCTGGGCAGGTGCCACCCACCTGCTTGAGCTGGCCTTTGACCCGCCCTCGGCAAGGGAGGACAATGGACGGCCTCAAAACGCGGCCTAGTCCCTTTCTCAGCGGCGGGGTGGGGGGCGGCATTGCCCCCACAGGAGGCCCTGCTGACCCAGGAGACTCTGTTGAGATTTATGATTTAATTTGTCTGTTGAGCCTCATTGTTGTGGTTTGTTGAAGCTGCTGCTGCCGACCCGAGCGGGATGCACAGGCCCCAGCTAGGCAGCAGCCACTGCCTGCTTGTTTTTGCAGCTGGGGCGTGGCATTGCTGCCAGCCACTGGTGTTGCTGGCCAAAATGTGGCGCGGGCCTCAGCTGGGCCTCTAGGCTGGCCTGCTGTTTTGCCACCCGCAGAAGAGGGCCATAAGGCGACCTTTTTGAGCTGAATCACGGTGGGGAGGGGGTGCCTCGCCGGGCTGCAGGGCAAGCCACTTCAGTTTTTCCTTATTGGGGGGGGGGACTAAGTCAGGCCGCATGGCGGTCATGCTTCCACCACCCCCCGTTCCCCCAAGTTGGTCTTCAGGATGTGTGCTGTCTCTATTTTTTGCAGTCTTAGCGTTTGTGCACAGTTAGGTTGGCTGGTTCTGTCTTTCACCAAAACATTCCGATTGCAAATATAAATAAATCTAATAATTTTAATTAATATAACAAACAAACAAAAACAAATACAACAAACTGCCATCATACTTAGGTATTTGTAGGTCTTAGTAGTGGTTGACTTGCTTCAAGGTGCATTATGTCTCTAGCCGTGGCTGCTGATCAAAGAGAAGGCTCCCCCTCGCACTCTCTTGGTGCCGTAGGGGTGGGCACCCCAAGAGCCGCATCGAGGGGTACCCCTAGCAATGCAGTAAAGGCAGCCAACAGGATTAAAAAAAGGGCCTTGTCTTCCAGCTGGAAGGTCCCACCTATGAAGTTAATTATCTCTAAGAAAAAAGTGAGGGATGATGGCCCCTCCACCTCTGATGCCAGGCCCTACAGGGCCCTTACTAAGAAGAAAAAGCGGGCATACACAGAGGAGCTCACTGCTGAGAGCGATTCTTCCCAGTCCAGTGACGACGATGTGCAGGAATTGCTGCGTCAGAACCGCATCCTGCAGCGTCGCCTGGCTAGGGCTAAGGAGCGCTTAGATAAGTCTAAATCCCCTTGTTGACGCTCCCGCGAGGGTAGGCGTAGGCATAGGTCACCGGTTTCGAGTTCATCAGACAGCTCCTCCAGCCCTGATTCGCGCAGAACACGTCGCAGGAAGAAGAGGTCTTGCAGATCGAGGAAGCATGGGCGTACGTGCAGGAGGGACTCTTCTGATTCTTCAGATCTTTCAGGTACGTGTGATTCCTCCTGTGGCGAGTCGGAAGAACGGTGCAAAGGGTACTGGGTTACTACCCACAAGGCCCCTGGCCTGCCTAGTTGGATTTGGGAATGTCGCACCCGGCGCCATCGCCGTGCCTTTGGGGCCAAGGAACCATGTGGGGAGGATGGGCTTGATGCAAAAGGGCAGGTGCGGGCATCTAACTTCAAGACCACAGATCAGCCTCCTGGCATCCGGCTTAAAAAGAATATACGCAACCGCATTCTAAATGGGGAATTTGTGGACTTGTTTGCCCTGCTCTCCCCAGCTTATTCTTGTAGTTCCAAGTTTAAGCCTGAATCACGTCGCAAGAAGGAGAAGGCAGTGGATATAGATAGAACTTTTGACAATTGGCTAGCTGCTTTCGCCTCTTACATGGGTTTGGTGGCCACTGCTTACCCAGATAGGCCTTGGCACTTGGCTAACTATCTGGGCATTATCTTAAAGGCCAAAAAAATGGCAGGGGACTCAGCGGCTTTGGCTTACGATGAGCTGTTCCGTGAGAGGGCTGCTGAAGAACCCACGGCCCGTTGGAACATCAAGGATAATGATCTTTGGTCCGAAGTAGTGGCCCCAAACTTCCAAAAAAGGGCTTTTGGGGAGAAGTCAGGTAAATCCCCCTCCAAAGTGCAAAGGGTGGCTATATCAACATGTTGGGAGTTTAACAATGGGTTGTGCAGCAGGGACCGATGCCGCTTTGACCATGCTTGTGAGCGTTGTGGTGGTCCTCACTCACGGACTAAGTGTTTTCGGGCTAAGCCCCCTTTTCGCAGTTTTCGAAAAACAGGATCAGGGAGTAGAGCCAAGGAGCCTCTACCTCTGGAGCCCAGCAATCCAAGGCTGTCTCCCGGAAATGAGGTTTTTTCCACCCTAGTCCCAACCCCTGTCCGCCTCTCCACGATGTTACCTTTGTTACAGGCTTATCCCAACAGGACTGCAGCCAACTACTTGGAAGCAGGGTTTCGTTTTGGCTTCCGCATCCCTGTCTCCAATACACCGGTATCCAGAACCCCTCCTAATCAAAAGTCGGTAATGGAAATGCCCCTTGTTGCTTTTAACAAAATTGAAAAAGAGCGGCGTTTAGGCAGGGTGGCCGGCCCTTTCCCGGCTCCCCCTTTCAAAAAGTTTATAGTTTCCCCTCTTGGCATAGTCCCCAAAAAACTTCCTGGTGAGTTCCGCATGATACACAACCTTTCTTATCCTAGGGGTGGGTCTGTACACGACGCCATACCACGAGAGCTTTGTTCAGTTAAATATGCATCCTTGGATGTGGCCATTAAAATGATTAGGGAATTGGGCACTGGGGCCTTATTGGCAAAATGTGACATCGAGTCAGGCTTTCGGCTGCTCCCAGTTCATCCTGAAGATTTTTGGCTGCTTGGATTCAAATTCAGGGATAGCTGATACTTTGACAAGGCTATGCCCACGGGCTGCTCTTTGGCCTGCACAGCCTTTGAAACCTTCAGCACATTCATTGAACGGTCCTTCAAAATCTGGTTCCCCTTTTGTGACCCATTACTTAGATGACTTTCTTATCATTGGGGCCCCAGACTCCCCCAACTGTGCCCTATCCCTAGCTACATTCATGCGCCTTGCAGCTGACTTTGGCATACCTCTGGCTGCTGACAAGACCGAGGGCCCTTCGACTATCCTTTCCTACTTGGGTATTGAATTGGACACAATTCGGCAGAAATCGCGCCTACCGCAAACCAAGTTGGAATCCTTGAAAGTTTTGCTGGAGGCAATGCTTGGGGTTAAGAAGACCACCCTTCGGCAGGTGCAATCCCTGTTGGGTCATCTTAATTTTGCGTGTAGAGTAGTGGCGCCAGGCCGTGACTTTTGTGCCATTTTGGCACGGCTCACGGCCGGGGGGTAGCCCCCCACCATCACATCAGGGTGACAAAGCAGATAAAGGACGATCTGAGGGTTTGGCTTGCATTCCTGCAGGATTATAATGGGGTTTCTTTTTGGCAGAAGTGCCTTAACCCCGGGGCGGAGTTCCAGGTTCATTCTGATGCTTCTGGCCGCTTTGGCTTTGATGTGTTCTTCAGGGGACATTGGTGCGCCCAGCCATGGCCATCTTCTTGGCACGCAGCAGGCATTACTCGGGATTTAACCTTTCTGGAGTTCTTTCCTATTCTAGTTGCCATTCGCATCTGGGGAACCCTCTTTTCGAATTCCAGGGTCTGTTTCTGGTCTGACAATCAAGCAGTGGTAAGAGTTATATCTAGGCAGTCAGCAAAGTCCCAGAGGGTCATAAGGGTCCTGCGCCTGTTTGTCTTGGTGTGCCTGCGGCACAATATTTCTTTCACTGCCCGCTTCATACCTGGCCTTAACAATAACATTGCTGATGCCCTGTCTCGTTTCCAGATGGAGCGTTTCCACGAACTGGCACCAGGAGCAGCCCAGTCCCCAGACGCCTTCCCAGACGATCTGTGGGAGATTGGAAGCGAGAAGTAAGCCAGGGAGTATTGGCAGCAATAGCACCCTCCACTAGACGTTCTTATTCCAGGGCCTGGGATGCCTTTGGGCGCTTTCGTGGCTCTGTAACACGGCGCGCATCTGAGGAGGAGGTGCTTCAGTTCTTGGTGCTCCTAAAGCGCAAGGGCCTTGCCATAAAAACTTTAATGCTTTACAGGGCAGCTATTTCTTTCTTTTGTAAATTCCGTCACTGGCCAGATCCCAGTGACAGCTTCCATGTCAAGAAGTTACTGGCTGGGTGGTGGCGTGTCATTCCCCCTCGTCAGGATGGCAGGAAGCCTATCACCATAGAAATACTTTATCTAATTTGGAAAAAACTACCAGAGATCTGCTGGTCAAATTTCGAAACGCGTCTCTTTCGGGCAGCATTTTCCCTAGCCTTTTTTGGTGCCATGCGCATTGGGGAGTGTTTGGCTGGGCCCCTGCAATCAGGGTTGGCAGACAACGACATCAAGTTCTCTGGGCATACGTTGAATGTTAAGATTCGGTCCTCAAAAACTGACCAGTTGCGGAAAGGGGTCATGCTTGCGCTGTCCCCAACGGAACAGGCGGGCCCCTGCCCATATCGTGACACACGCCGCTTCTTCAGGGTCCGGCCCCAGTGCAAGGGCCCTTTCTTCATTCACTCAAACACGCGCCCGTTAACGCAATCACAATTCACAGCGGTTTTACGCAAAGCCTTATCTGCTTGAGGTGTTAGTCCCCAGGAATATTCCGGGCACTCATTTCATATCGGGGGTGCTACTTCAGCAGCGATACAGGGTTGGGACCCCGCACACATCAAGACACTGGGCCGCTGGCGCTCGACAGCCTACAAAAGTTACATTCGTCCCGAAAGGGCACCAGAGTCGTGGAAAGAAGCGTATATTACACTTATACCAAAAACAGAGACTGAAAAGACACAGCTTAAGAACTACCGCCCCATATCATTGCTTAATGTGGATTATAAAATCTTTGCAGACATTTTGGCTAAAAGACTAAAAAGAGTGCTAGTGGAAGAGATACATAAAGACCAAGCAGGCTTTCTCCCGGGTAGACACTTGTCTGATAATATGAGAAACATAATCAACATTTTAGAAAAATTACAAGTGAATATTAATACCAAGGCAGTTTTGATATTTGTGGACGCGGAGAAAGCTTTTGACAACATTTCTTGGAGTTTTATGAAGAAGAATCTACAGGGATGGGGGTAGGTCAAGGTTTTGGAAACGGTATAAGTGCAATTTATTCAGAACAAAAGGCTAAATTAATTGTCAATAACGTGGTGACGGAGGAATTTAAGATAGAAAAAGGGACACGACAAGGTTGCCCAATCTCCCCACTGCTTTTTATATCGGTCCTGGAGGTCCTGTTGAATATGATTAGAAGGGACCAATTGGTTAAAGGTATACAAGTCGGAGCTAAACAGTACAAATTGAGAGCATTTGCAGATGACTTAGTATTGACATTACAGGAGCCAGAATCTAGTACCAAAAGAGTTTTGGAACTGATTCAAGAATTTGGTCAGGTTGCAGGATTTAAACTAAATAAGTTAAAAACAAAGGTCTTAGAGAAAAATTTAACAGAGATTGAGAGAGAGAGGTTTCAGAATGAGACAGGTTTAACAGTGGTTAAGAAAGTGAAATACCTGGGGATTAACATGACAGCTAAAAATGGGAATTTATTTAAAGACAATTATGAAAAATGCTGGACTGAAGTGAAAAAAGATTTAGAAATCTGGTCAAATTTGAAACTTTCACTGCTAGGCCGTATTGCTGCGATAAAAATGAATGTATTGCCTAGAATGTTGTTTCTGTTTCAAACATTGCAAATTTTGGATAAAATGGATTGCTTCAAGAAGTGGCAGAGAGATATCTCTAGATTTATCTGGCAGGGCAAGAAGCCTAGAATAAAATTTAAAATACTAACGGATACAAAGGAAAGAGGTGGATTTGCCCTGCCAGACCTTAGACTTTACTATGAATCAGCAGCTTTTTGCTGGCTGAAAGAATGGCTGCTTCTTGAAAACACAGACATTTTGGATTTAGAAGGCTTTAATAATGTATTTGGATGGCATGCATATTTATGGTATGATAAGGTCAAAGCACATAAAGCATTTAAAAATCATATTGTCAGGAAAGCATTGTTTAATGTCTGGATAAGATATAAGGACCTACTCGAAAATAAAACCCCAAGGTGGTTGTCACCGATGGAAGCGAAGGCTCAGAAAAAGCTCAATATGGAGGCCAAATGGCCGAAATATTGGGAAATTCTGGAACAAGAGGGAGATAGATTGAAATTGCAGAGTTTTGAAAAACTGAAAAACAAAGTGCGAGATTGGCTTCATTATTATCAGATAATGGAGGCATATAATTTGGAGAAAAAAATTGGCTTCCAGGTGGAAAAATCAAAATTGGAAACAGAACTGTTAGAACCCAAAACCAAGATTTTGTCAAAGATGTATAACTTGCTGTTGAAATGGAATACTCAGGATGAAACGGTGAAATCTGCTATGATTAAATGGGCACAAGATGTTGGACATAACATAATGATGGCTGACTGGGAACAGTTATGGACCACAGGTATGAAGTTTACGGCATGTAATGCCTTAAGAGAGAATATTATGAAAATGATATACAGGTGGTACATGACACCAGTCAAGCTTGCAAAAATCTATCATTTGCCCGATAATAAATGTTGGAAATGTAAAGAAACTGAAGGTACATTCTTTCACCTTTGGTGGACATGCCCAAGGATTAAGGCTTTCTGGGAGATGATCTATAACGAAATGAAAAAGGTATTTAAATATACCTTTCTGAAGAAACCAGAGGCCTTTCTCCTGGGCATGGTCGGCCAATTGGTGCCAAAGAAGGACAGAACTTTCTTTATGTATGCCACAACAGCAGCAAGAATACTTATTGCAAAGTATTGGAAGACACAAGATCTACCCACTCTGGAAGAATGGCAGATGAAGGTGATGGACTACATGGAACTGGCGGAAATGACTGGCAGAATCCGAGACCAGGGAGAAGAGTCGGTGGAAGAAGATTGGAAGAAATTTAAAGACTATTTACAGAAATACTGCAAAATTAATGAATGTTAGAATGATGTCAGAATGAAGTTAAGTGGTTTTAGCAGCAATGTTATAAA